TAACAACAACAATATTCAAATGGAGAGAAGTACTACCGAAAGAGTAAACGAAATTTGAATGGAGAGAATCTCTATTTATTTGAATGGAGCAATCCTAAACAGTGTTGGCAATTGTGGTGAATTTTCAAAAACAAAACTATAACGTATTTTTGTGGAAAAAGGCAGAATCAAAAAAAAAAACGGGAAAGCATTTTTATAACAACGTGCAATAAAAAATATTACAGGAAAATTCCTGAAGATTATGAAAGTAAATGTTCATAAGTGCGGTTGTAAGATTTAGAAGACTTTCCAAAAGAATTTTAGTTTTATTTAATTCTTTGGTTCCTCTTCTATTGAGCTTACGATCTCGTCACTTGGGTAAAAAAATGTTTTTGTCATAGAAGTTATTTTTAAAATAACTTCTGGGGAGAATATCTCAGACAAAAAACAAGGGAACTGATGAGGATTGGTGGCTCTTTCCGAAACCTAAGTATTCCCTGCCTTACCCCCTGGTAAACAATACCATCGTTCTCCACTAATAAACAAACGTTGTTTTTATAAAAACAACAATAAAGGGATAAAGCCTGACCATTTTGCAACAACAAAATACTACGGTATCCCGAACAAACAAGCTACACTGTTCTGTAAAGCTAACAAGTTAAATAGTATCGGCCGGTTTTTGCCGACAGAGTTATGCATATTCTAACCGTTGACCCTTTATGAGGGAGGTTTCGAAGCAGTTGGCCAAAATTGCCCAATTTGTACCTGACTAAGTCTGATATAAATATTAAAACGTGTTATATTTGGACTATATCGCCTACTTCCTATACTTTATATGAAATATGTGCACATTTTTTGGAAAATGTGGAAATATGCGTGAGGTAACAGATATAGCGTACCGAAATATTCCACTTCATCTAATACAGATAAAAATATTGATACGTGTAACATTTGAAGGAAATCGAAGATTTATATTCAATTTTATGCGAAATCATGAGTTCCGACAAATTATATATTCATATCAAATTTCTGGCTATTCGAAATTTTGACCCTTTGTGGGGGAGGTACCAGAAGGAATGTTCCGATCTCTACCTTCTTTATATTATATTTTGCATTGATAGAAATATTGAGATTTACCAAGTCTGAATGGAATCGGATGTTAATTTCGCGTTTTAGAAGCTAAATGGTAAACTTTACCATCGTTCTCCACTAATAAACAAACGTTGTTTTTATAAAAACAACAATAAAGGGATAAGCCTGACCATTTTGCAACAACAAAATTTTTACCCTTTTTGGGGGAGGTACCAGAAGGAGTGGACTGATATATTCCATCTTCACAGCAGATCTTGTGCTAGTAAAATAATGGGATGTGTAAAAATATGAAGAGAAACTTATTTCGGATTTAATAATTGTTTCTTTATTCGAAACTTTAACCCTTTGAGGAGGAGGTACCACAAGAAATAGTCCGATCTCTATCATCTTTATAACAGATCTTGCGTTGATAGATGTTTTGAGTTGTGCCAAGTCTGAATGGAATCGGATGTTAATTTCGCGTTTTATGATCTTCATGGATATCCAAAATTTTGTCCCTTTGTGGGCGAGGTACCAGAAGGAATGAACGGATATATTCCATCTTCACACCATACCTTGGGTTAATAAAAATATTGTGATGTGTGTAATTTGAGAATAATCGGACAATTACATCACACTTCATACGAGTTATAATTATTCAAAATTTTGACATTTTGTGGGGGAGGTACTTGATGAAGTGAACCGATATTGTCAATTTTCGCGCCTAACCTAGAACTGATACAAAAATTAGGATTTGCAAAGTTGGAGCAAAATCGCATTATCCTTTCTAACGCTGTGCATTTTCTTTGAAAATTACGACCTTTTGTGAGGAAGGTACCAGAAGGAGTGGACCAATATTGCCCACCTTCAAAGTAGATCTAAATTTGATAATAAAATTACGATGTACCAAGTTTGGATCACATCAGATACTCCCTTCGAGTATTCGATCGGTGCTTCTGGCTGGTGCCAGACAGAAAGACAGACGGACATCATTAGATCGACTGAAAAAGGTCTGAAACGGATTTGGTTTAAAGAGACCTAGGGTCTAAAGCCGTTACTACGATGAGCCACGTTTTTTGCCATACAAATTATATATACCCTCTCTAGACATATGGCTGAGGGTATAAAAACGGCTACTTACAATGGTTATCAAATTAATAAAACGTTGATTTGAGTAGCCGATGTTAATCATATCCAGAGGTGAAAATCTCAAGTCCCAGGCCAAAATGTTAGTTCGCGTATGCGGATTAATTCAAGTTTAGCGAAATCTGTCGGATTTTTGGAAAACATTTTCCAGAGGTAGATATGTGTACCCTCATTTCGGGAAAGAATTTTTTTTCTTGGAGACGGACCCGTATGTCAGAATATTAAACCGAATGTTTAGTGAAATCTGTCGAATTTTTGAAAAAAAAAAATCCAGAGGTAGGTACGTGTACCCTAATTTCGGGAAAATATTTATTTATTAATTTTTTTAAGACGTTCCTGGATTTCCTGATATTTAAACTGAAAGTCCTGGTCCAAGATCCGGGATACCACAATTTAAGTATAATTTGAAAGCTAATGATATAACTATATAAAACCTATCCAACAAGTAGTGACATGAGCCCTTATTTAAAAAGGTTCGAGAGTTGTATCAAAATTATATTTTCTTGGAATCAGTTTTTTTAATACGAAAAATATCAAAAAAAGACCCCATTTTGGGAGTCATTTTGCCAAATTATTGTTGACAATATAACCTTTCCAAAATGATGCAATATATGTAATTATCTTTCTTGGATTCAGGGATATGGGCCTTTGAACTCGCACGAGTCGTCTACTTTTTGGATAGGTTTTTATATTAGCTTTGCAATGATACAAAATCAAAATAACAACAAGTTAAAAACCAGTAAATTCGGCCTGACCGAACTTTGAGTACCCTCGACCATTTGAAACGAATTTGGAAATTTTCAAAAAAAAAAAAAAATCCGTTAAAAATTCGGTTAAAATCTTAAAAATAGCGATTATAGCCGTTATATTAGGGTCTATACGACGTGGACCTACATAGGCATTGTTTGTTATAACCCATTACCATATTATAAACGGTGAATAATGTAGCATCATAAAAATACCGAATATAGGGAGGTACCATGGGGGCTATACTAAAACGTGTGCCTGCACAGACACTTTTCTGTCCTAGGCTGTAGTGTCCATTACGAACTTCAATACCAAATTTGAAACAATTCCGGTGAATAATGTCGCTAAAATCAACAAAATACCGAATATAGGGAGGTACCGTTATATGAGGCTATGGCTATATGAAAACGTGGACCTACATGACCCATTTACGAACTTAACCTACTGGCGAAATAATCCTGTGTGCAAAATTTTAGCCTTCCATCTCAATTCGTTCGAAATATAGCGTGATTACAACATACAGACGGATAGTCAGACAGACAGACAGACTTCGAGACAGACATCGCTAAATCGACTCTTACGCTGATCAAGAATATATATACTTTGTTGGGTCTGACATGAGTATTTCGAGGAGTTACAAACGGAATGACAAAGTTAATGTACCCTCCATAGAATGATGGAGGGTATAATAAAAATTTCGAGAGCTTTTACTAAACTAGAGTTGTTCCGAGGTTTCAATTCTTGTATGACCTCCACATATCATTTTAAAATATTTTAAAGGAATCTCCAGCTGTTTTCAAGTGTTTTCAACTATTTTCAGGAAAAAATCCTTTTTTGGTAATTACATCTCATTTGAAATTACATCTCGATTTAAAGTAATATGGTTTCGTTTCAGGAATTGAATTTCCGGAGTGGAAAGGAACTATCGCTGTCAAAAATCAACTATTAAGTATAGCCTATAACAATGTGGAAGAGAGTTGATTGTAAAATCGTGGCGGCCGCTTGTTTTTTAAAAGGTAGGCCGCAGCCGGTTAATTTGGCTCAAAGTTACTGGAAAAATATCACTCTCCCCTTCTTTTCGACAATTTTTTTTTATAAAAATTTAAAAAAAAGAATCTTTGAAATCTTGAAAATCTGAGCCTATTTAACTTTATTTAACTTTAACTTAATTTTCATTTTATTCTTTCAGCCGTATTTGCCCTCAACATTTTCTGTAGCTCATTCTCCAACTCTTAAATTATTTGATTTCAAATTCCTTTGGATATATTGCGATTTTTCAACACTCAAAACTTTTGACATCACTAAAATCTACTAACAGAGCAAAACGATAACTCCCACTACATTCCCCCTCCCCCCACCCTTTCCAACTATTCATAAATTTACTCCAATAAACAATCCATTATTTACTCCCACTTAATGGAGAATATCAAAAATTCTTACTTCTCTTTTCGATGCGTGTTGATGGCTCTTTCTCTCACAATGTTGATGTGCTCTTTTGCTCGCAACTTGTTTATCTCTCAACACTTGACTGTTTTTGTTGTTTTTGCCTTTGGTGGGGGATGGTTGTTTTTCACCAGGAGGAACATAATAATGGAAATTTTGCATTAGAATTTTCATAGAGTTTTCACACACCGACGCACACACACGCACACAACTATGCTCACTTATAATATAACCCATACATTAAGGCATTGCGTTAAATGTTAGCCAAAGTATTCTTGATTTTTGGGCTTTTCTACGTTTGCTGTTGCTGCTTCTTCTTCTTCACGTCTTATTTTCCAGGAAAAGGTATGTAGGAAAAAAAGATGGGAAAAAAGCTAAAAATTATGCGCACATAACACACACAAGAACAAAAAAAAACTATTATATTCTTTCACAGAATTCTATTCTTTCTATTTCTTGATACACAATTTTCAGTTGGCATTTTTATTTATTTTTCCATAGAGAAAATTGGTTAATTTTTTAGGGAAACTTTTCTTTCTCACACTGACACAGAGGATATTTCTCTATTTATTTATTTTTATTGTATAAACACTTTTCACACAGAAATCACCAACCTTTTTTCACTCAAACAAACAACAACAATATTTTTGCTTAAACAATTTGCTTCCAATAAAACACTTTGGGTTGTTTCCGATAATTTTTGTTGTTAATTCTTTTAATTATATTTTTTCAAAGACAGTAGCTTAGTATTTTTCTTTTATTTTGTTTAACGTTACTGCGTTTATTTTTCTGCTTTTTTATTCTTGTGTTACAACAAAAGGAAATAATAAATCGAATGACAAGGAGAATACACGCGCACACGACAAGGACGTCCGCCGTTTGGACGAAAGTCAAAGCCTTGTCTGACAGTCAAATATTGGCCACGAATATCCCATAGCTACCTTTGTAGCCTAGCCGCTGTGTTACAATAACTGCCACTGCTGCAATTGTTGTTCCTTTGCTCTCGCCCTAACAAGAAAATAGTGGGTAATTTCTTTGACGTTCTCTCTCTCGCTCTCACTCTCTTTTTGAGAGTGACTCACTGTGTGATTTTTCTGTGGTGTAGGTGAAAGTTTAAATATCGTTGAAAATGTTTGTATCTAGAAAATTTGTGTTGTTTGTCTCTGGGACGAATTCTCAACCATAAAATTTGCCATGGTAACGTTTGTCCGCCGAACCATGAATGAGAAAATTTTCTCTGAATTGCTTCGGGACGAGGGTGGTGTAATTGGAAAAGGGAAACAAAATGTCAGTAAGTTCGGCAGGGCCGAACAGAGGCTTGGTTTTTGGATATTCAAAAGCGTACGAAAAAAAGTACAAAAAATACTTTGTATTGGACAAACAAAATGAGGTAGAATTCTGAAATTTGCCATAAGAGTAACTGGTGAAGTGCACAAGTCAAACACCATAATTTTTACACTTTTTTATTTATTTATTTATTTATTTTTAATGAAAGCAGAAAATGTCGGAAGTTGCATCAAATTGGCACGAATTATGGCGTTCAAACGGCCAATGAAACCGCCACACACTGCCCGAATGTTGCTCTGTGGTATTTTGGCCCATTCCCGGGGAAGCGTTTGCTTGAGTTGATCGAGGCTTTTGTATTTTTTAGTGCCAACCTAGCTTTCCAAAATACTCCCGACACAATAGTCAAACCGATTGGTATCCAGAGATTGTGGTGGATATTGTGCACTGGAAATGAAGCGAGGAACCTAATTTTGTCACCATTCTTGGGCGTGCTGAGTGGGATGGTACAGGACGAATGTCCAAGGTCTACGACCAAAATGTTTGGGTGCCCAGGGCTTTAATACTCCCTCCAGAATATTTTCACGACAATATTCGGCATTTATTCTGATGCCACGGTCGATTAATAAGAGCGGAGACCGACCATCGGCTCTTATGGCGGCCCACACCATCGCCATGGCCGTCGCTTGAGTTCTGGTGGCCAATCGAAGGTGCACATTTATAGCTGACCTCTTTGGCAAGTTAACACTATCATTTTGTTTGTTTACAAACTGCTGGACAACGAATGTTTTCTCACCGTAGCGGAGAAAACCAAATTCGGCAGTTCACCACTTTCGGCCAAGAGAAGCAACTCGTTAGCTCTTTTAAAAGTTTATCGGCTCTTGAAAGTTTATTCGGATTTTTATACCCTCAACCATATTGCTACAGAGGGTATATATCATTTGATACGGCCAAAACGTGCCTTATCGAAGAAATGGTTGTAGGCCTCAGGTCTCTTTGGACCAAATCCGTTTCAGGACATTTGGAGTCGATCTAGCGATGTCCGTCCGTCTCTCTGACTGGATGGTGCGCAAGACAACTCTCTGATTTGGCCCAATCTTGGTACATTGTAATATTATTATCTATGTTAGATTGGGTTCGGAGATAGGAAACATCGACCCACTCTTTCTGGTACATCCCACACAAAAGTTCCAAATTTTCAAAAAAAAAAAAACAGTACTGCACAGAAAGAGAAAGGATAATCTGATTTTGCTCCAAGTTTCCGAAGTCCTCATATTATCATCAGTGCTAAGTCAGGTGCGAGAAATACCACTCCTTCTGGTGACTTCCCACAAAGAATCAACATTTTAAATATCCATGAAGCTACTAAAACTCGAAATTAACATCCGATTCCATTCAGACTTGTTATGAAGATTCAAGACCTGTTATGAAGATGGTAGAGATCGGACCATTTCTTCCGGTACCTCCCCCACAAAGGTTCACAATTTTAAATAACCAAATCGATTACAAAATCCGAAATAAGCATCCGGTTCTCTTCATATTTCACACATCCCATTATTGCTTCGAACACAATATCTGCTATGAAGATGGAATATATCGGTAAACTCCTTTTGGTACCTCCTTTTGGGAATCTTGCATCAGCTTCCCCTCAGACTTAGTACCTTTCAATATTTCCATCAATAAAAGATCTATCATGATGATGGTAGAGATCGGACCATTTCTTCAGGTACCCCCACATAGGTGTAAAGATTTTGAAAAACAAAACGCTCAAAGTGAGCGATGTAAGCATTCAAATTTCACATATACAAATATTTATGCTAAAACAAGATCTGTTGTAAAGATCATATATATCTGCGAACCCCTTTCTGATACCTTACCCAGAATGCGTTACAACTTTCAATGCTTTTATCTGTCATAACTTGCCAAACAAGTCAGCGATTCTTTCCAAATTGGTATTTCTAAACATTTATCTCAACCAGAAACCTGAGATGAATATAGAATTTTTGATTTCGCTTAAAATTGTACATAACCTTTAACTTCTGAGGTGGTGGTAAATTTTACCCTCCCTTCACATTTTCTTGAAATTCTCCATTCTATTACAATGAATAAAAATTTTGTTTACATAAAAAAAAAATGTTTTTTTTACTTATTGTAATTTAAAATATACAAGCTTTCTTTTAAAAAAACAAATTATTATCAAATAAAATTTTTAACAAAGTTTTTTTTCTGTAATATTTAGAGGGGTAAAATTTACCACCACTTTATAAAATATGTCACCTCAGAAGTTAAATGTTAAATGTTAGATTTTCTTGTAGTTTTGCCCATGCCATTATTTTTATCTCTAATAAATGAAGTATGAAAATGGACATTTTAACATTTTCTAAAAATTATAACATATCTTATATAAAGTTAAGGAATTAACTAATATAGCCCAAATCTGGCACGTCGCAATATTTATATCATATTTATTTAGGACCGATACAAAGTGCAAAGTATTGGCCCATTTCTTCGGAATCTACTCCATAGAGCGTCAACAATTTCAATAATCATAACAGAAATCAAAATATATTTAAAAAATCTAACATTAGCTGAGGGTGTATATCTGTAGGCAAAACCGACTAATACTTTTTAACTTGCTAATATAATTAATTAATATATAACGTCTATTCCTAGAGAGGATAAGGAATAAAATATAAAAGACCTTCTTTGAAATATTTAAGAAATATAGACTCATTTTCTCCATAAGAAGCATTAAAGGAAGAAGAAGAAGCATGTATTTCCATATATATATTTTTAAATTGAAACATTACTTGATACTAATATTTCTGATTTCAATTTATTTAAAAATCATATGGGTTTTTAATATTATTTTCCAAATTATAAAACGGCCCCCTAAAAGCCTTTTAAAAATATATATATCCCTCTCCAACGAACTTAACTCTCCAAAGATATAACGGTAAATTTTCTTCGATACAATTTGTTTTGGGCGGATGCCCCACGGTGACATGTGATTTTGATAAATCTCTTATAAAACTCAATCGTGTACTCTTACTCTCAATTTCGACATAGATTTCGAATCTGATAATTGTTTTATTATCTTGCCACTATTTTTCCACTATTTGTGCCCAAATGCTTTTGTTGGTGTTGTTATCTTGCAAGCCGCCAGCGTTGTGTTTAGCTCCACCAGCTGTTGTGCCAGTCACCCACTTTTTCAAAGTATGTGTGTATGTAAGTATTTTCTACTCTTTCTCTATCTCTCATTGTTGTTTGGTGAGAGGGTTTTTTTTCGGAAGTCTCTTTAGCTTTCACGAATCCTAGCGTGTATGAATGAATTTCTGTTTGTTATGTTTGTTGTCAATTTCGCAAAATATTTTTTTTCTGTTTGGTATACTTGGAGTATACGACAGACACTTATACATAGATACATGTATCTGTTTGTAGGTCTATGCCATGCAGAAAGTTCTCTTCAAGACTTTGTTAGACTTTTTACGTTTGGAAGTTTTTTTCTTGTTTCCTTTTCTTCATTTGTATTGGGCATTTTCTTATCCTTCTTGTCTGTGACTGTGTGATGGGTAATTTTAGGATCTAAATATGTACATTGCCTTTGATAAAGTAACTAATGTTAGATTTTTGGATTTTTTTGAAAAGTTCAGGAGAATTATTTTATATCAGTGAGTCACAAAATAAATAAAAATAAATTAGACATCGGATATTTCCTGTTTCTATTTCTATTTCTTTGTCATTCCGTTTTTAACTCCTTGAAATACTCATGTAAGGCCCAACAAAGTATATATATTCTTGATCAGCGTAAAATTTTAAGTCGATTTAGCCATGTCCGTCTGTCTGGTGTAATCACGCTACCTTTCGAACGAATTGAGATAGAAGGAGAATTTTGCACATGTGTTTATTTTTTTCAGTAGGCAGGGAAGGGTCCAGGTTTTCATATAGCCCATATATAGCATATAACGGTACCTCCCAAAATCCGGTATTTGGATGATTTTAGCGACAATATTCACCGGAATTGTTTCAACTTTAGTATTTTAAGTTCGAAATGGATGCTACAGCCTATGACAGAAAATTGTCTGTGCAGGTCCACGTCTTCGTATAGCCCTCATATAACGGTACCTCCCAAAATTCGGTATTTTGATGATTTAAGCGTCATTTTTCACCGGAATTGTTTCAAATTACGTATTTAGAGATCGTAATGGAAACTACAGTCTGTGACAGAAAATTGTCTATGCAGGTCCAGGTCTTCGTATAGGCCCCAAATATAAGTATCTCCCTATATTCGGTATTTTGACGAGTTTTGGTGCAATACCCACCGAAATTGTTTGAGATGTCGTATTTGACGTTCGTAATGGATGCCATAGCCTGTGACAGAAAATTGTCTTTGCTGGTCCAGGTCTTCGCACAGCTCCGATATAACCGTACCTTGCTATATACGATATTTTGATGATTTTAGCTACATTATTCACCGTTTATTTCAAGTTTCGAATTTAATTATGGTAATGGCTTATGACAAACAATGCCTATGTAGGTCCACGTCTTATAGACCCCAATATAACAGCTATTTTCGGTATTTTTAAAATTTAAACAGAATTTATAAAGGATTATATTGTTTGAAAATTTCTAAAATTCCTTAGAAATTCAATGCTTTTGAAGTA